AAATACATGTTTCCCCTCCTGCTCAAGAGATCTAGAATAACATGACATCAAATGTATTCTATGCAGCATGATGTTTACTTATTCTTGCTTCATTATTGTCTAATACTTTCTTGACATTATTTTCGCTAAATCATGTCAACTTAATTACTATTTCTTTTTGGGAAATTATCACCCACCTCCCTTGAGGTTTCACGTATTATCACCTAGACCCATGTACTATTAAAATTATACTTTTACCTCCTCCTTATCCTTTAATGAGAGTTTAAATAACTCCTAATCATGTTTAGCAAAATTATAGATTTAATCATGTAAATTTACTCACTTGCATATCTCATCTGGTAACAAATAAATTTATCGCCATGAAGAATCTTTCCACAAGAAAGTACACTTTGTAGTGAAAAAATAGCTTATGTACTTAGTCTATCTAAAACATTTAAAAATTTATCCGCATATCTAATCCTGTATTAACAATTTTGAAAATTTAAATGAACATTATTTATAATTACAGTTTAGCTAAACTTTTGGGATGCTATTTTATACCTGAAACAGATGTTGGTGAATGATGTTTATGGGAAATTAAATACTTACTTGAAAGATATCGACCTTGTCTTAAAGATCATTCACCAACATCTGTTTTAGGTATAAATAATATTTCAAACGTTTAGCTAAATTGTAATTCGAAATAACGTTAGTTCATTCAAACTTTAAAAATATTTTTATTATATCTAAAATATATTAGTGAATACTTTTAAGAAAACTGCTGAAGCTAATAATCTTTTTTCACGTGAGAAAAAAATCTCTAATGTGAGATGTATATTCCACCAATATTTCTACAATCTCATGAATATTTTTGAACTTTTAAAAACAATAGAGATTTATTGTTTTATGCTCGTATTTTTTGATTGTGTTCACAGTTAGTCCTATAGATATAGTTCTATATCTATAACTAATAAATATGTCTATTTAATGACTGTTTAATCGGAAAGCAAAAATTCTGGCAAAAAAACATACAGAGTACTAAAAAAGACACCGTCAAATTTTTCGTCACAAAGTGTTTTTTCTGGTGAAAAAATCTGTAATGCGGATAAATTTATGTGTTACCGTATCAAATCTGCAAGTAAGTAAATTTATATGATTCAATCTAAATTTTGCTAAACATGATTATGAGTTATTAAACTCTTATTAAAGGATAGGGAGGGGCAGGGGCGGATCTGGCATAGGGCCAGGGAGGGCCTAGGCCCCACCTCAAAAAAAAAATTACTAGTATATATATATATATATATATATATATATATATATATATATATATATATATATATATATATTATATATGTACTGGGAAGAAATAGTATAATTAGAACAAACGTCCTATTGTAAACAAAATTACGTTGGTGTGATGGTAGATGCGTGATTGGTAGTGTAGAGGTTATGTGTTCGATTCCTAGCTGGAGCAGCATTTTTTTTGTATAGTCCAGGAACATGCTATCTTACACAAATCAAGTCTGAATTTTAACTTTTGAATACTAGGATGCAAAAATTAAGTAGTCCAACTAATTGGGCTTTATTAGTATGAAAAACCAATTAGTTCAATTGATTGAGCTTTTTGAATATTGTCCTAAAAATTAATTAGTTTAATTCATTGGGCTTTTGAATATTGACCGAAAAATTAATTAGTTGAATACATTGGATTTCGTAGGTGAAAATAAGTTTTCTTTACATAGAGTATAGATTTTAGAGTAAAAAAATCGGTTTATCTTGTTTCCGAGAAACTAACCTAAAAATTGGCATTAAACATTTGGGTAACCGATAAAACTTCGGTTCGATATCTATGACTTTTAAGATAATTGTATTGTCGGTTCTGTAATATTCAATTTATTCTTTGACATTTCTATAATTTACATTTTGACTTCTAAGATATTACCCCCTCCGTCCCGGAAAATTAGTCCCACTTTGACTTGGATCGTAGTTTAAGAAAGTGGGAATAAAGTGGAAATGTATGGTTGTGGTTGAGTAAGAAAAAGGTAAATGAATGTTAGCCACACAAAACTTTCCAAAAGGGGAAATGGGAACAATTTTTTGGGACGGCCCAAAAAGGAAAATGAGACTTATTTTATGGGACGGAGGGAGTATTATATTGTACTACATTTTGACATTTTTTTATAATATACGTTATTTAATTAAATTTTGGCCCCACCTGAACATAAATGCTAGATCCGTCCCTGGGGAGGGGGGTAATGTTATATTTTTAATAGTGCAAGGGTCTAAATGATAATGTATGAAACCTCAAGGGAGGTGGGTGATAGTTTCCCTTTCTTTTTTGCCATGGACTTGTGACATTATGAATTACTCTTTCATGTAGTAATGAGATTTTCTATTTGGATGAGTGTATAATTAAATTTCTTTCACTATATGTTTTTAAAAGATACTTCCTTCATTACATTTTGTAAGATGCACTTTCCTTTTTGGGTTGTCCCAAAAATATGATCACTTTCATAAATAAGACTCTACTAACTTTTTACTTTCTCATTTTATCTCTTTATCCATCACTTCATCGGCCCTTTACTTTTTGTGAACCCACACCCACCTTACTCTGATCTTTCTTACTTTTTAGATGTTAGAATTGTAAAACAACCATTTTATCTTTTATTTTCTTAAAACTCGTACCAAATCCAAATGAATCTTACATTATGGAACGGATGTAGCACTATTTTAGTAATTTATACATGTATGCACATTACACGATTCTTAAAAATCAACGCTTTTTTCAATGATTTTTTTACCGTTTTTAGAATCATCCCATTTGCTCAATTTTCCGAAGATGATAAGGTAAGTTATAGTGATTGATATTTAGTAAGATCTTCCCCTTTATACAACATTTAGAGAGAATTAATGCAAACATATTGTCACACTGCACAGGAACAAGTGGAGTTTAGAGAGGAAAAAGTTCTCGCAATATGTTTGAATCTTATGAATCTTTTGCAATGAAGAGGCACAATTGCATGCGAGTCACAATCAAAATTATATATAGAGAGATGATACTCATAAATCTTTGAAAATAAACATGGACCCAGAGGTAGGGGTGGACCGGGCCCGGTCCGGTTCCGGTTCGGGTCGGGGCCCGGCCAGGCTTGGATGGTTTTGGGTAAGGCCCGAGACCGGCCCGGGAGTCTGCCGGTTCTGGGCCTGGCCGGTTCCGGTTTAATTTTTTTTGTGTTTTCTTATTTATTTCAACCCCCACCCCCCAAACCCCTCGGAAACACCCAGCCCAGCCCACCTAAACCCAGCCCAAACCCAAAATAAAAACTGATGTTTGGCACTACGAGCTGGAGTCGAAGACTGATGTCAGTTTAAGAGTTATTGTCCGAAATAAAAACTTGTCTATAGTTGAATGTTTATGTGCGAAATCGGAATTGCTAGTTGAATGAGTATACATTTGAGAGTTGAAACAGTGATTGAAAATATAAAATTACATTAAAGAGCATACAATATCCTAAAAACTCAAACTAAGAATGTAGAATGTGTGTGTGAATATTAAGATTATAGGTATGATAAACTCAAACTAAGAATTGTCTTTTAAGTTGAAAATAATTGCGATTGATACACAAGTATAGATGGAGCATCGTCATAATCGACTAATCGTACTCTTTCTACTAGTACTTTTGTATATTACAACCACAACAAACATCAACTAAGTTACTAAATTCCTTTACATTATGGAGATAATTAGCTACAATTTAAGAAACAAACTCCTAAGTTATTTCTATTTCGTATTTCGTAAACTCAAAAGTCCAGGACATACTCACTGGAGACAAATATTGTCGCTAGCTTGGTTTCTTTTCTGCTTGAAGAGCTCCTAGCCTGTAAGGATTCTTGGACTAGCTTAACAATCAAGAAAATTGTGATAAAAGAAAAACGCTACTCTTATCATAGTAATAAGATCATAAAATAGAACTTTTGGGATAAAAACAAAGGGTATGATGTATTTTCACTATTGATAAAATAACACTAGTTAATTAGTGATTTGTATATAAATTAGTCTAAATATTGATCGCTATTATTGTAGACAATAGGATAAATATAGCGAGATTCGGAGTATTTTTTTGAAGTTGATCCCCAACGTATATATACCCAATTAGAAAATCTAATTTTGTTATGAATCACTAATTTTTTTTTGCCAGAAAACCTGGGGTTGAGCTTTTGAGACAGATAACTTAAATCAATTATCAATCCGAAAGGAGGGGAATCAGAGCCAACTATGATAGTAAGAAATTTCACAATTTCAAAGTTGTAGTACAAGCTAAGGCATTTTGGGGAAATGCAAATGCTAAATCGCCAGCCATCTTAAAATTGTGAGCTTCTTAGTTCTTACTAACCTTTCTTGATAAGATATCCTTTTCGTGTAGGCATGGACCGGGCTCCGGGCCGGTTCAAGCCGGGCTTTTTTTTAGGATGTTGCGCCCAGAACCGGCTCAGGTTGATACCGGGTCCGGGCCAAACCGGGCCGGGCCGGGCCGGTCCAATGTATAATTTTTTTTTTTTTGCTTTCTAATTAACCCCCGACCCCCCCTCACCCCCACCCCTCAAACCTCCCCAAAACACCCATCCGGGCCAGCCCTACCCAAGGAAAAGAAAAAAAAATTAAAAAAAAAAATTAATGAACCGGGCCCGGCCCGGACCGCCCGAGCCCAGCCCGCCAAGCCCGGTCTGGTACGGGCCTGCACAGTAGCGGGCCGGTCCGGTTCAGGAGCCGGTTCAGCCCAGTTGGGTCCATCGGTTCCATCCCTATTTTCGTGTAGTACTTCTTGATACATTTTCTTTTAACACACCCTCAGTTGGTGAGCCGGGGAAAATGGAGCAAATCCACTCCCACCAAAAACGGGCCACACCAAGAATGAAGTCAACATAACATAAAGAGTGGACAAATATCTATATATAAAAAAATACAGTCCCTAATCTGGTTTTTTAAGAAACGTAAGGAAGCGGATAAACCAATTCCACTGGCAAGTCATTTCTTTTTTAAGCTTGTTCTTCAAAAAAGAAAAATAAAACAAAATTTGTTTGTTGCGGACTTCTTGCCCCACTTTTTCTTATGGAACCATAAGAAAAAATTACTTGATCATTGCACTCACTTAATAATTACGGAGTAGAAGACAATACATCAATCATTTCATTGGTACATTGTATGTTAAATAACCTCTATTGGAAGGGTAAATCAGATTCCTTTAAACTAATGAAGGCCTTTTTGACCCCCCGTTTTGTCTGTGTTTGGAGCGGTTTAATACTCTACTCTTCAATAAGATGCAGAGAAAAGCCAATATTAAAATCAAAATGACAAAAAGGTTTGATTGCCACCATGGCATGAAGTTATAATCCCATCTCTTGTGCAAAAAGCCTTCAGCAATGATTACTGGATCAAGAATAAAGTCCAAAGTCATGGCTTCTTCCTTCAAAACTATGAGTGTCCTCTTTGACTTGTATCCCGGCATCGTTACGACTACTATGAAGATTCAAGCACAAAATTATAAAATAGTCTCACTTCAATACAATGTTTTGTGATGTTTTAACCGAGTATAGCTAGTTATTCTATTATTCCTTGATTTCATTTGCGTGTATGTTTGGACTTCGGATCTTATTTGTATTTTTGATTATGTTGTCCACTTCTTAAAAATTCATTATAAAAAACCAAACAATCTGGGATGAAGTAAATATAGATTACCTTCATAATTTTTGCCAGGAGCTAATAACCGGTGGTAATCAGCAAATGCTTTACCGACTTTTATCTGTACAGAATTAGTTCTATAGTTAGGCCACTGTAATTCAGCACATCTTTTCATACATATGCCATGTAGATTGACCTTCACAAAGTTGTCAGCTTTAGGGAACAAAAAATCTTAACCATACATACAGTGTGTGTGTGTGTGTGTTGAGGGGAACATACCGTGTAATTTATTCCCTTTATGCCTATTAAAGCAGACAACGGCCTTCCGCTATCAGCAGAATAGATCCTTCCATGAATTCCAGACTGCATGATTAAGAAATCATCAAATGATATGATTGATCTTGAAGCAGGAACTCTGGTGTAGTAGAGACTAGATAATGCTTATTAGAAAGTTGTGACAACATTGGAGTTACCTCTACTACACTTGCAACAAGGTGCAACATACTCATTTTGTTGTATTCCCAAATGGTGGGAAGCTGTGATTAACAAGTCTAATTAGACATAAATCAAATCTAGTCTAAAGAAATAGAATAAGCAAAAGAAACAACATAGAAACAAAGTACGAGTAACTTTCAGTCATACACTCATACTTGTAATTTTAAAGCTTGATAGTGGACAATAAATAGAGATGCAAGTTACAATGAAACATGGCCGGCATCATTGGCAACCTCATATTTACACCCAGTTTGGAAATCCATGTATTACACTTGCCAATAAAAATGTTTAAAATGTATAATTGTAAATGCAGAAACTCAATCTATCCCAAAAAGAGACTGGTCTGAGCAAGTACAACTTTTTACTTTTGGTCCAACTATAACTACAAAGCTCAGCCTCTGTTTTTAAGCAATAAAGTAATCTGTTTGTTTCAAATAAATACTAGTAAAAGCTTTTACAAGTTACATATCATCACGCCTATAACTTTTTTAAAGATTGTTTGAAATAGCTGGCTAAAACCACTTGTTTGACTTGGCAATAATAAGACTTAAACATTAAATTTGACTTCTAAAACTTCTCTTTTTTTAGACAAAAAGTTCTTGAAGCACGACTTTTTTTGGCACAGGAAGTATTTGGTTAAGCATGCTCACTGTGCGATAAAATGGCAAGCTAAACTCGAGAAGACTCAAACAGGAAATCTTACTTCTGTTGCATTAGGCCATTTATCATCACTGATCTCTAATGTCAACTCGAAACAACCGGCATGTATGTAACTCCAATCTTGCATGCCACCATATATAGGGTACCTGATAGACTCAAAGAATGCATCAGTCAATGAACATCCGAATTTAATTTTAAATTAATATTAAAGCAATATGAAAGGATGAACTTTATGGAATCATATCCATATTTCCTTACCAATGTGCACCGTTTGTAATTCCTTCTGGAAACTCCTGGCTTAAAGACATGTTGTGGTGATAATGACTATATAAATTTGCCATATATCTGAAAGTTTCATCATCAGGGCAAGCAAAGTAATATTTCCTGCATATGGCGCCAATTTACAATATCAATTGGTCATAGAATTAGCAGGTAGGACAACAGCAACAGAAAACATTATATTCAATACAAAGGTTCAAAAACAGGCATAGAATACAAAACTAAACACCCCCACCAGCACACAATTTCAAGAACCTATATCTGATTAGACTGGAAGAATGCTTTAAAAGGTGCTTTTATGCTTTGAGATGATTTGCATGTTTACCTAGGGCTGGATTCGGTTCGTGTCCCGAACCAATTCAGTATATCCCCGAACCGAACCGATATTTCGGTTTACCAAATTATCAAAACCAAAACCAAACCGTTATAAGAACGGGTACCGATTTTTGGTGCCCAATTTTTTCGGTTCGGTTTACCGGAAACCGAAAAAAAACGACTCATTTGTAATAAATAAATTTGAACTAATATTCAATAGACTAAAGCCCATTGGAACTTGCAAATATTTGAGCCCGATTAGCCCAATGGCAGCCCAGAATGTAAGTTGGCCTTCTACACTAAGGGGACGTTGTTTATATTGAAGTTTTTGGAGTAGGAAGCTACTCATTTTACGGTGTGGGACAAAATAGAATAGGAAAGAAGCCAAATTCTAAATAAACAAAACTTTACCACATGGGCAGGAATCGAAACCACGACGCTTCGGTAAGGACTAACGCCTGCTGACCAACTCAGCTACGCATCAAGATTCAAGTATGTGCGAATCATACTCGGTTCAATATTATACCATATTAAACGTCATTAATTATTACTATTATTATAAATAACAAATATTATTATTAATATAAAAATGTCGGTTCGGTTCGGTCCGAACCGATATTTTGTGCACATAAACCGAACCCGAACCGATTTTTTTTCGGGTCCGGATTATTGGGTCCCAATTTCGTTCGGTCCGGTTCGGTTTTTTTCTAAAGCGGTTCAGTTATTTTCGGATTGGTTTTCGGTTTTTCGGTTCAAAATGCCAACCCTATGTTTACCCAGTGGAGCCATAGACTCACTATTTTTTGGCTTGGGAAATATGATGGAATAAAGCAAAATGGCACACTAAACTGTTAACGTTTCTTGGTTATAAAGCAGCAATCAGTCCATGCAATTTTTGACGAGATTTTCACAATGGGTCATCCTACAGTCTCTATGCTTTAGTCAGGGATAAGGCTGTGTACATCTGACACCCCTTACCGCACCGTAAGTGGGAGCCTTTGCGGCACTGGGGCAATGTTGTTGTTGTTGTATTGTTTGACCCATAAGACTCAAAACTTAATAGGATTTGTTAAAAAAACTATTAGGAACAATACAAAATATTGGACAAGATAAAATATTACAACAGCATTACCCCATTGCCACAAAGCCTCCCACATTCCCACCGACTGTTTCTGGATGACCCACGATGAAAATTGCGTTGAAAATTGCATAAAAAGGCTGGTGCATCATAACAAAGAAGCACAGACAATTTAGAGAGCCATTTTGCATTATTCCATCATATTCCAAGCCAAAAATTGGTGAGTCTTTGGCTCCATAAGACACAATAAAATATCAAGTTAAACAATTATATGAGTTATAAAATAATGTAAAATGTAATTTTGGCCCAAATTACAGGGGTTGGCTAAACTAGACCCGTTTGATATTTTTTGGCAGTTCCTTACTGATTTTTTTGGCATTTAGATCTGTATCTTTTCCAATATCAATAATTTAGTGTCACAGTTTACAACCACCAAAAATTATAAAGTTCACGAGAAAAAACTGTTCAAATTAGAGACAAAAATGATGTGTCAATTTTATCAGATTTGAAAATGCTAAAATGCATTTTGAAGAATTACAATGAATATATTTGACGATTAACATTTTCATAAAAATGTGATTCAGTCTAATTACCAGGGCTACAAAAATGCCTTGTTACCATCAATTCGCTTGATCTCTCTATTGAATTGTGTTTTTACATGTAATTCAATTTTTTTTCAAGACTAAATTGCGGATAAACATATTGATGTAGTTCTAAATTGCCGATAACCATACTGCTGTAGTTCTAAATTGCCACAAAGGATCAAAGTGGGATTAGTTTTGCCGAACCTTTTACACTTACAGAACCAAAATTGCATTTCTCTATGAAAACATGTACGCAAAAGCACTGTTTGTGACCAAAAGTAAACATGTATAACTACCATCACAAGGAGTCTCTCTAATCTCTAAACTTCAAGCAGAGATTTAGTGAACTGCCACTCATTGAAAGCAGATCCCTCTACGAGTCTACAAGTAAGACACTCATAGTTTTGGAGCAAATGTGGGTGCATCAACCTTTTTGCGGTTGGAGGAGGGGGCGAGGGCTCAAATAAAACAGTACCCATTATCTATAAGGTAGCAAGAAAAACATATTTGAAAATCTTCTTTTCAAACCAAAAGACGGGTATTATCTATTTATCTGTATATAGCAGGTCCAAGGGTAAAGGGTCTGCTGAAGATGTGTTAACTTCGTTTACTTCATGCATGTATTTTATTCTTCCATATCTGAGCAATCAATTTAAATAAGTTTCCTGCTAATAATTTTTTGGGTCAGTTTAATTACTAGATTGATGTTCTCATCATTAGAATTTAAAAGTTCATTATATGATTATACCACTAGCTGGATCACCTTAATTCGTATGGATGATAAAAAAGTAGATAACTTACTGTTTATCTTGAGTTCCATCCCATGGAAAATTTGCAACAAGTGCACCCTTCAAACAAGTAAAGATTGTTACATATTACTACATATAAATTATTTACACCATGACATATTATGATAGCCTAAAAAGCATAAAATTATAGCAAGTGTATGATTTGCATTATGAGTAGCATGCTCACATTATAATAGATAATGGAAGAGCAAGACAATTACCCCATGCAGACTGGCAGATGCGGTGAAATGTACTTCTTCCATCCAACTCATAATAGCTTTTGTTTCTGGTTGACGTGATCCGAGATCATCATTCATGGGAAAGAACTATGTCACTTAATGAGCTAATGTTAGTAAATGTTCTCTTTAAGATAAAATACAAAAGTTAGAAAATAAAAAAGCTTATATTCAACATAGATATATATTACAGAGTATTTTGCCTCAAACAAACTATGAAAATGTACAGACAAGAATGCAAAATTATTATATAATTTCCTAGCCCACACTAAAAAATGAAGAAAAAAACTTGTAGTAGTATTACACTAGGTTTCAAGCAAAATAAATTTGATTGGTTTTCGGAATCATATATAATGTGACACAAAAGCAAAATAAACTCAGTCTAAATATAGTCGGTTTGATAATACTAATATTGGTGGAATCGGTTTATTTTGCTGAAATTAATTAAATTCTAGTTGAATAGGTTGAATGGGTGAATATCCCGAATCATGAAAAAAAAAATATTCCATTTGTTAAATAAATAAAAATTATATGAAAAATAGTATAAATGCCTAAATGGTCTTCTACATAAGCTTCTCTACTAAGCATAATTGTTATGAACCCGATTTTAAAGAATTCATAGAGAAGCTTCTTAATTATTTTCATGTCCTCTAATTTACTTTATTATGCGGCTCAAAATATATTTTTTAATATTCCTCATTCAACTTGGTATGAAATATGGAGTGCATACTTTTAATAGTAAGATTTTACATTTTACTTATTATTTCATCACATTGAAAATGTCATTAATAAGGACGTTTTTAATTGAATTAAAATTTTCAGGTTTGATTTGGTCTAAAGTAATATGATCTGGTAGATTTCTGTTTTACATTTTATGTGCCCAATTATTATTAAAGTTTGATCTGATCTGATTTAGTCTGAGACTAAAATCAATCTAATTAAAAACATCTTAAGAGTAAACAAAATTAGGAATTTGTAAACATATAAAGATTTCCTAATTTAGATTAGGAATCGATCTATTTCAAAAGTGACGGAATCTAGAGTCATTTGTTTCCATATCAATATGCAATCAAAAATAGAATCCAATAAAAATAAAAGGTACGGAGTATAAAAATAACTAAATAATTGTTATATATGATGGATGACATGGTAGGATTATGTGGCGCTTTGTATGCTCTTAAAAAGTTCCTCTTTTATATATATATATATTGATTGTTTTTCAATCCTTTCTCATCCATTTCAAAAGCACCTTCTCGTTTAGTTTAAGGAAAGAATTGTGTGGATGACATTTTTCCTTCCTTTCCATATAAATCCCATTAGCCCCATATTATTTTCACAATAAGCATACCAAAAGCAAATGGAAATCTAATTTGTGGAGGGAGCATTTAATTTTTGAGCAATGGTCAGAAAAATGATGTGAAGCAATAAAATTCTCTTCTGAGAGAACCTCCTTTAATGGAATCACATGGTTCTAGTTGCCTAATAAAATGTCCATAACCTGCACGTAATGAAAAATAGTATCATAAAAATAAAAGACACCTGATCTGGAAAATCACGATTCAGATCGATATTGTTTGCATTTACACGTTTCCTCATCTCAAACCCGTCAGGATTCATAGATGGTAGAATATGAAGATGAACATTGTCCACAATCAAGGTAGCCTACACCATTGCAGCAGAGGAACTAAGTTTATGTCCAACCAAGCAACCACATGATCGTTACACTAGAAAGAAAATTAAGAGGAGTGCAGGGAGTGCATGCATGTGTGTCCATAATGAAAATTAGACATTCAGTCAAAGCATTAAGACAGCTGAATTATAATGAATATTAAAAGCCAAAAAGAACAAGATGGTCCAAATTCAGGCTTTCAGGATGTTGAAATTTAAAACCTTAATTGAAAATGTTCCAATTTGCCAAATTAAATAAGAAGAAGTATAGAACTGTTACCTACAAGTAGGATAAGATGGTACAATCACTGCCTTTAGCAAGCAAGTTTATAATAAATGGACCAGAGTCTCAATTAAAAAAGTTTTGCAACTTGTAATGAAAATCGAAAATCACGCAGGGTACAACACAGTGACTATTATACAGCAAGGGAGAGTTTGGTTGGGGGATTTCGGAGGAGAGGGAAGGGGAGGGGTCATATATACATTTAAAATAATTTTTACATTTAGAAAAAATGATATAAAGTGAAGATAAAGTACTATATAAAAAATAAATGAGCTAACTAATTATATAGTTATTTGTAGTCTAAAACTAACAAATTCAGAAAAATTAATCAAACAAAAATCAATCCTTCCCTCCCTTTACCTGCAAAATCCCCCAACCAAACAAGCCCTAATGGCTTTACAGGAAATTGCAATGGCTTGTCATACCAAATAGATATCAACAGTCAACAGGATGCACAAAAGAATGAAAAAATATGACAAATTGCCAAATGTATAGTAAAAGAAAGAGCACTAATAGAAGATACAAGAAATGGAGAAAAGTTACCAAGGGATCCTTCATGTAATTATCACAAATCCAATTAGCAAGAAGCATTAGAAGCTCACGCCCTACTGGTTCATCCCCATGCACGTTTCCAATAAACTACAATAACAGAGTCATTGATATAATTCATCACCAAAATAGTGATCTAAGAAACAAGGGTCTAATTAAGCAAGAAATCACAGTAGGAAGCTAGAGCACAAGGGAAGTGAATTAAATAGAATCACTGGATAATAAGATCAGTCGAGTTCAGGGACTCAATTTTCAATCTCAGATTAAAACTTTATCTCAATTTTCAATCTCAGATTAGAACTTTATCTCAATTTTCTATCGTCTACATTATTTATTCCATATATTTAGCAACTAGTCATTTATGTTCTCTAAGAACTGAATAAAGAAGATAAGAGTAACTGGCTTCCAAGATGCCACTTCCGGCTGGGAGAGAAGATAGATGCCAAACTCAGCTATAACTAATTTTCATGATCACCTTAATCCCAGCTATATTGGGGTCAGAGGCAGGAGTTTTATAGTTCTTAAACTGTGAATTAACTGTCTAGGGTTAGGTTCATGATAAACACGTGCAATAAAGCATAATGGAAATTCAGCTATAACTAACATTTAAAATAAATTATAAAACTACTAATCTACTGCAGGTAGTAACTTATTGCTTGAAACAAAAAAGGGAGCTGTGGAACAATTCTCAATCACACTTCTGACTGAAAAATAAGAAGGGAGAAAGCAACATAGTATAAGTGTAGCAGTTTCTGCATTTGCATTCTCCAGAGATTCTTCATATCAATTTCATTATTGTAATTTGTATTGCTATGATGCAGTGTTTTAAAGCTCTTTGAAAACCTTGAATGTTGGAAGAATTAACTACCACAACATTGTTGTTGGAGCCAGTGTTTCGGAATGGTTATCTCTTTAATGCATGATGTCAATCATATTACCAGTTTGCAAATTGCGAGTACATGGATAAGATAAATACCTTAAAAGCAGGTTCAGCCTCTTGCTTTCCTGGTTTGTCTGAAATTTCCATCACCCACTGCATCAAAGAAACAAAAGACCTCCCTTTAGCCTTTTTTCATCATGAATACAAGAATAAACAACTTCTAATAAAGTGAAATTCTGAGTAACCAACAATGAGAGATGTATTACCAGTGGAAGTCCTTGTACACTCTTTCCAATGCTGATCACATCAGAGAGAGTAAAGAAAGAGTAAGAACTACATGGACATGCATGGCTATTCCAAAAATGATGAAAGTAGCTAGCCTTTATATTACCAAATATAACGGAGTTGTCTATAAAATAGATTGTGACATGACCAGCATGCCTTGGCATATTTGCATAGCATGAGGATCAAGGATGAGTATAAAGTTTCTAACAGCATAAATGCTTATGGAAGAAACAGAAATTGGCAAACATGGCCATTATTACCTGTATACTCTTGAAATGCTGCTACACCTACGATTAAACGCCATTATTGCATTTTCAAGTTCGGCGTTTGTCATGTATCCTCGAGATAATTCTTCACTAGCAGAGGAAAACCAGAATAAAACAAAAAATATCTCCAATTCAAGGCTCAGTGATATAGGAAATTTGAGGTTTAAACAAAGAAAGAAATCTTCTGAAATAATAACAAAGAGATTTAGGAGAGTACAGTTTTTGGAAGTGTTCTGCTGCAAATAAACGTCTGCTTGACCCAGATGTAATATTCAGATTTAAGAAATCTACAAAAAGGCAGAAAAAATGCTCATTTCTCAACCAAGCAAAATCCAACAAAAAGGACACATTCATTACAGCGGTGGGTGTGAATAATAATAATATTTTAAAAGTTACATGAATCCTCACTTCGTTACATAAACAAACCGTTTTCTAATCATTAGTAATGCAGCAAGAATTAACCGATCATTAAAGAAAGTTAGTCAAAATTATCACATCACCCGCAAGGCCGAAACTAACTTAATCCAACGCAAACTGTTCCACGAATAATGACAGTCCTGAAAACGTGTTTCATTTACATTTTTACCCCTTAATCTAGAGAGTGAGTGAAAGAAAGACCTGAGCTGCCGGAGGCAATGGAGGTACGGCTGGCGATCGAGCAGTGGAGAAGAGAGCAAAAGTGTATAGAAAATAACAGCAGGCAGAATCGAGCGACAAGGTTCACCATCATCGCTTGCTCATTGAATCTGAAAAAGCTCTGTTAGACGACTTTCCAGGTGAAGTTTCTCTCCGATTGGGAAATGTGAACACACACTACAGGCGACCGGACGGGTATGACACGCGATAATTCAGTCCGGTGGATTACTAGAGGTAAGGGTGAAACGCATAGTCTATTTCTTCATCATTCATTGATTTGACTTTTGTTTGGCGAAAAAGAATTTATGGGAGAATCTTTCACTTTTCCGGGCGAAATAAGCTTTGGAGCTGAGAAATTTGAAGTACACACAAATTCATCATAAGAATCAGAATGTATAATTTGACTTGACTGTATCTTATATGAATATGAATATGGCATGTAAAACATTTCAAATTATGTTGAAAACATGGAATGAGTACATGAGATTGATCTTGATAACCATAAGGGCATAAACATTCCTTAATATTGACTAGTATAGGAGATGTTTGATTAGATTAACGTAATTATTGTAGATTTTAAGTTATTTGAGAATGATTGACGGACATTTTCGATTATTTTTTTTATCGGTGTGTTGTGTGCATATATGTTTATTTGTGAGCTTCTTTCATGAATATGCACCTCTTTATCTAAATGTCTACCTCACCTCCTTATTTACATACTTTTCAGTTTTCATAAAACTTTTGTTAAATTTTTGTAAAAGATGTCACTAAAAATATCTTTTTCACTCATTGGAATAGATGTCAGATTTGTTAAACCTTACTCATGACCATCATTTGTTAGACCTTATTTGTGGCTAACTTATAATGAGTTTTCTTGGCTTGGTTCGTATTATTTTTTTATTACGTTCAGGTAGGCTAAGAGCCCGTTGGTGACCATGTTTTAGTTATTGTATATGATCATTTTAGCTATTTTTTATGTCATTTTTTCTTTATTTTATTAATAAAATATATTTTAAATATGTTTTTATAAATCAGGAGAATCATCCAATAAAGCCAATGCAACCAGAACTTCATAAATTTCAGCAGAATCAATCGATTCAGTCGATTTAAGTGTTACCAAACGGACTCTAAATTTATAAGATATCGAAGATAAATAGAAGAGTGATTCAAAATATATCAATATTTCAAAGTGAAGGCACCTTGAAGGAACTAATAATTTAACACATGCAATGTACTCAAATAGCATCATTTGGGGCTTGTTCTCCCGAAAACTTCGGTGGGAGAAGATGTGTGCATTTGTATGTTACTGATCTTAAACTAAAATTCTATTACCTACCTAATTAACACATGTACTTTTTTTGGCTAGAAAGAGACAAGTTTTATTAAAAAGAATGAAAGTGATACATGCACTAATGAAAGAAGAAAGCAAAAGCAATGAAGAAAACTAAGCTAAGGAAAGCAAACTAAACTAAAGATTAAGTTTTTAAACGCAATTGAGACCTAGTTTGCATAAAGGAAGTCTGAATAGCAAGTTTTTTCTTGTTACGCCGAGAAATGACATGAATGAAAGAACAATCTTCGGTGACCTCAAATAAATCACTTTGTTCAATTAAAGCCGGAGAAGTCACTGAAGTCGTAGATAAAGAAAAAACAATACTTTGAGCCGAAGTCTGAGGTTTCATCCTTTTGTCTAAAATCATTTGATCTGCCTTAAATAAGAAATAATAGTCGGCTTCGAGTTCTTGCCCACAACATTCCGCTTGGGAAAAAATCATCATTCTCTTTCGTGTTCTTCTCGGAGAAAGTTGTTAGTTCCCTCGATGCATTAGAAGAAGAAATCAAATCAGCCGATGTAGACATATCCAGAGTGATTGTCGAGGGAGAAAAACCTTGAATATCAACCTGAAAAGGAATCCCAGAGATCGAAAAATCATTATTGTTATCAACCCTATCAAGTCCCAACAATGAATCCGGTAAAAACTCCTTTGGCTCTAAAAAATCTTTCAACAAATTAATGACTCTGAATAATCCTGCCAAGAAATCCCTAAAACTTGATTTGTTACTTCTTTCAGGGACAAAAATAGAGTCAATCCCTTTGTCAATAATCCGAATAAAACCACCATAAGAATTTGAATCGAAGAGAATTATAAATTTGCCCAACTCGAATTTAAAATTCACCCAATAATACGAGGAAATTTTAAGAATGGAATCCCTCAACCATAGTAAATTATCAAGATCAAACACAATTGAAGAAGTAAAAACCGGATTAACCTCACAAAAACGAACATATTTGGCAAAGTAATTAAAATGGCAAACTCTGAAGACGAGGAGGAGGAAGAGGAGTCGGTTCCAGTGCGATGGCAACGGGCTGGCGGCTAGGGTTACAGGCGGTGGTTGTGGATGGCGGTTGGGGCTAGGTTTGGGTACTACAAGTTGGGGGTTGGGGGCTGGGGGCTAAGGTTGGGGTTGGTTAGTCTAGTCAGAGTGGGACAGGGTAGGGTTGATATGAATGGGGCAGGGCTTGTGGGCGTGGGGACTGGGCCGTGGCTAGGCTGATGGGGGTGGGGCAGGGTTTGGGTGATGAGGACTGGGCCGGGTGATGGGGGCAGGCCTGCGGTGATGGTGGTGCGGCAGGGCTCTGCGTGTGGTGGAGGAGCGGGTGGCAGCGGTCAATATTGGGTGGTGGTCAATGTCGGACAGTGGTGGTCACCAGAATCACTATCAAGGGCGTTGATCATTGGGGTGGCGAGGGTCACCGGTGGCGGGGCGGCTATATGTAACTGTCACTAGCAAATGAATAGGTCACTGTCCGGACAAATGTACTCCCTCTGTCCCACTTCACTAACAATCGGACAAGAGTGAGTGACACACAAACCAATAAAAAGTTTTTTATGCAGTTGATATGGAATTGATAAAGTAAGAATAAAGTAAAAATGATTTAGATCCACGCAAACTTTACCAAATTTGATATGCGACAATCTTAGTGGGACGAACCGAAAAGGTAAAATAAGACAATCTTAGCGGGGCGGAGGGATAATTGTCACTAATATAATTGTAATTAATATAATTAATATGATTGTAATATTAGTCACTATTATAATATCGGTCACTGTCATTGAGCATACGTGTCGCTATCACTGGTCATTGTGACAATAGTTGAAATTGGTCATTGGACCTTTGGTCACTGTAACGGGTTGCTATAGCAGGTCAGTTGGGCTTGGGCTTAGTAAGGGTGTAATAGTCCCTTTACTAATTTTTAGTCACATTTTTGGAACATAAAAATTGGTCACTTTTTTGTCCAATTCTTTTTTTAATAATATTTTAGACATACCTCTAATTTTAATCACTTAATTTTACATTGCAACGAATTATGAATACAATGTTAATCATATTTATGCTGATAACTTTAGCTTAAGCTATATTTAAAAATGTTGTCTTAGTTTTGAGATTTTTCCTTGCTTTTTTATTCTTTCATTTTTCTAAGATTCTCTATTTTTTTTAAGAGATTCTCTATTTTTTTGAAAGGAAAGGACTTAAATAACATTAATCAAATTGTTGGCTAAAGTCGAAACAATAAAAGGAGGAAAATGAAGCAAAAGTTGCGAATCAGACAAAGAAAAAGCCGTTTTAGCTAACAAATGTGCAGGCTTATTCGCTGACCGCTTAACATGACAAAATGCAATATTGGAGAAAGAATTCGCCAACTCTCTTATGTCTTCTCTTAGCAGACCCAATAATGAACAACACGATCCGTTTAGAATTTCAGAGATCGCTCCTGAAGCATCGGATTCTACCTCGATTGAAGTCCCACCAAAATCTTTCAGCCAACTCAAAGCCTCTCTAATCCCGACCAACTCAGCGCCTAATGGCATTAGTCTTCCCGATCAAACCTTGGACACTCCAGCAATGAACTGACCATCGTCACCTCGGAGGCACCAGCCTAGACCGCAGTTGTCCGCCCTGATTGCTGCATCAACTTTCAGTTTCCAGAAGCGGTCTGCACCAAGAAATCCTGCTCTGCTGCGTGACCTGCTGCCTCCTTCCTCGTAAGACCTGCGTCTGCGCCTGCTTCCAGCCATCCACCAGCACACGAGCCCGGTTAGCCTGCTGCTGCAACGATGAGGATTTGCCCATCCAAACTCGTTGGTTGCGCTCGTTCCATAGCGCCCAGCAACCCCAAATCAACCTCTCTAGCTCCTCTATCTTCTTAGTCTTGAATACCTTGTTAACTTGATCCAAGAAACACAAATCCACCCCAGAAGTCCAGTGCATGTTTCTCCATAAATCCTGGGCAGCAGCACAATGTATAAAAAGATGCTCCAAAGATTCGGCACCAGCTCCGCATAATCCACAAAGCTCTAAGCATTCAACTCTACGAACCTGCAAATTTAATCTCGAATGAAGGCAACTGTTACATACCTGCCAAAAACAATTTAATTTTAGGTGAAGTTTAAACTCCCACATACCGGTCCATTCCATATCAGAAAGTCCTCCCAGGTCGCCCACAATTTTCCGGTAGCAACTGTGCACCAAGAAATTCTCGCTTTCCTCCCATTGCCAACATAAAGAATCCTTTATTTGATTCCTTCTCAAAGGTATGCCCCGAATGATATCTGCGTCTCTAGCCTCAAAAATATCCCCGATGATATCCGTATCCTAAGCTCTCTGATTTACAGCAAACAAATTCGCCACCACCGCCTCTTGCAACCCCTCACACTTCTCTGAAATAATCCTCGGATTTTCTCTGTCTGGAAGCCACGGTTCCTCCCAAATATTGATGGAAAGACCATCACCCACTCTCCAATAATAGTTGTCCCGAATAATAGTCTGGGTGTGAAGTAAACTGCATCAGACAAAGGACAGATTGCTACTAGGTTTTGCTTTAAGAAAATCCCTCGTCGGAAAATATCTAGCTTTATAGACCCTACTAACGAAAGAGTCAGGATTCGTGAAAATTCTTCATGCTTGCTTGGACAACATGGCTAGATTAAAATCCCGGAGTCTTCTAAATCCCATTCCACTCGCTTTTTTTAGGAACACAGAGTGACGCCCAATTTTTCCAGTGAGTACCTCTTCCTGCCTTACCATTCCACCAATAACTATTCATAGCATTTTCTATCTCACGACAAAGATCAACAAGCAAAAGAAAACATTCATAGAATAAGTTGGCATAGCCTCGATGACAACCTTCAAGAGAATCTCCCTACCAGCCTTAGATAAGAATTTGTTATTCCAGTTATTTATTCGAGAGATCACTCTCTGTCTGAGATAGCTTAAAATATTTTTCTTATTGCGTCCTACCAACGCTGGCAAGCCCAAATACTTCTCATCTTCCCCAGCCAACCCAACTCCAAGTAAATCAATCAGACCCTCCCGATAATTCGCCTCAACATTAGAGCTAAAATATACCTTCAATTTATTAAAATTAATTACCTTGCCTGATGCACTTTCATAATCCGTCAACACTTCTTTAATCAAGGAAGCCTCATCATGATTAGCTCTAAAGAAAAGAAGGTTATCGTCTCCAAAAATAAATGAGAAATCATTGGGGGCCCTCGAGCAATTGAGACCTCATGCAAACGACCAATGGATTCAAATTTATGGAGTAACGCGCTAAGGTCTTCTGTCACAAGCAAGAAAAGATAAGGGGATAAAGGGTCCCCCTATCGTAAACCCCTCCCTGGTGTCACCCGCTCAATCACTCCGTCATCAAAAGGGAGGGAATTAGAGACGGAAGTGACGCACTCCATGATCACCCTTATCCATTTTTCATGAAAGCCCAGACTCCTCATCATGCCCTCCAGGAAAGGCCATTCGACAGGATCATAGGCCTTGCTCATATCAAGCTTCAGACCCACCATACCCATCTTTCCCTGATGCTTACGTTTCAAAAAATGTTGGGACTCAAAAGCCAACATAATATTATCAACAATACATCGGACCGGTATGAAAGCACTTTGTTGCTCAGAAATGCACAAATGGAGAATATTTTTCATGCGATTAGCAATCACTTTAGAGAAAATTTTATAAATGACATTGCATAAAGTAATCGGCCTCCCATCACTAAGAGATTCAGGTTTTTCTTTCTTTGGAATGAGAACAATATTAGTGTGATTAATAAAATTTGGAAGCTTACCTCTCTTGAACGCCGTCCTGCAAAAATCAACAATATCTGGACCCACCACATCCCAGAAATGCTGGTAGAATCCCGGACTGAAGCCATCTGGACCAGGGGATTTGTCAGGAAACATGTCAAAAGCTGCTACTTTAACCTCCTCGCCGCGAATGGGACTCAGTAGGTTATGATTATGTGGGTCGTCTACACGGCGTTGCACGCATCCAAATACATAGCCCCCCCCCCCCCCCCCCCCCGCCCGCCACTCGCCGTGAAAAGTGTATTAAAATAGTCTCCGATTAAATTGCCCACTTCTGATCTGTCAGTCTCCCATCGGCCATCCTCAAGCTTGAGACCCTCCATTTTATTCTTACGTCGTCGGTGTTTCACCGCATTATGGAAATAGCGAGTATTGAGATCTCCTCCTTGGAGCCAAAATTCATTGGCTCTCTGTCTCCAAAAAATATTTCCCTTTTCAAGAAGCTCGAGATACTCCTGTTTTACTCTCTGAAATTCGTTCACACCCCACGTGTCCCACCTCTGGCGCAAAAAAATCAATATTTTCCTGCAGAAATTAATCCGTCTGCCATAAGACCCAGATTTATTAATCCCCCACTCCCCAACAGCTTTGTTGCAAGAGAAAACTTGTTCCATAATGTCTGAGTTGCGACCCAGACCCCAGCTACGAGCTACAATCTCACGACAATCAGCTTCCCTAAGCCAGACATTTTCAAATTTGAAATTTCTCCTCCGACAGAAGTTTTGTGTAGGGAGAAGTTTAATATAGAGAGCCAGGTGTTCACTCGGAGCACCTTCAAGAGATTCGGTCACCGTCGCTCCAAAAACATCAAGCCAACTTTCAGACACCAAGATCTTGTCCAGTTTCTCCTCCACCAAGTTCGGTGTACCTCTCCGACGTTCCCAAGTAAATTGGCAGCCTTGAAAGCTAAAATTCCGCAGCCCACTAGCCCAAACAGTTTCCCGGAATCCCCGAAGAAGCCAAGGAGGATGAGGAATCCGGCCTCTCTTGTCCGAAGCGAACATTATATCATTAAAGTCTCCCATAACCAACCACGGTCGATCAGCTCCCATACTCAAAGATTTCAGAATATTCAAAGATTCTCGTCTCCTAGCCCGCTCCGGCAGCCATAAAAGCCCGTGAAACGCCAACAATGCGCTCCATCCTCCAGACTAACTTGGGAGTCAATATAGTGATTCGAGGACCCTTCGATTTGGACCCTCACCCCCTCCCTCCAGAGCAAAGCCAGCCCCCCTCTATGCCCTTCACTTGCCACCACAAAAAAATGATCCATTCCGATTTTGCGACTCACGCCCTTCACCCTGTTAACATCAGAAAAAGTCTCCATCACAAAAACTACCGATGGCCGCTTCAGGTGAACCACGTCCACCAAGACCTGAACTGTCGCCGGGTTGCCAAGCCCTCGACAATTCCAACTCAGGCAACTCATTGCTCTCGACGGGTCTCGGAACCAGAACCCGTCGCTACTCCGTTTTTTGGAAAAGAGATCTCCATGTCTTGTCCTGTTGAAACCCTGCCGCCTGCCACGTCTCCCGACACCTTTCTCTTTTTGCCCGCTACCCCTTCCATTTGAAGAGATATATCAATTTCGTTATCCTCCTCAAGGGACAATGTGACTTTGTTGTTGTCCGAGAAAGGACCCCCATGTAAAAATTTCCCTTCCCCATTAACCAACCACTTACTCCCTTTATTCAAACTGCTCCTGCCAGAAATCACTCGCAGCCAAGAGCCAAAAAGTTTTTCCCTTCCCATTTTTTCAAACTCAAAACGCCATCCACACTCACGGTCAACATGGCTCATGAGACCACATATGAAACAAAAGTGGGGTAAACGCTCGTATTTCAAATCCCCACGAACAGGTTCTCCGCCTCTCTTGAGAGTAACCTTTCGCTTAAGAGGCGCATTGGCATCAAGAAGAACAAGAATCCGTAAATACTCTTTCAAACCACCTCTCTCTCTCTCTAATTTTTTTATTCATCAACACTAGCGTGAAAATTTTAGTGGATAAACTAATGAAAAAGAAGGGAATATAATATGAGAGAATTTGAGTATATTTTGAAGGAAATTGAATTTTTCTCACATTTACAAAAAGGTTGACATATCACGTAGCAGTGTGCATAGCCATGGACTGGGCTTATGGTTGGACTCGGGCCGGGTCGGGCCCGGGTCGGGCCTAGGCCCGGTCGGGCCGGCGGTTCTATATAGCTGGACCCGGGACCGGCCCGGGTAGCCACCGGGTCCGGTCGGGGTCCGGTCGGGGTCCGGGCCGGGCCTCGGGTTTGGTTATTTTTTTTTTCTTAGCTACCCATCCCTGACCCCCCTCACCCCCCCCCCCCCAAACCCCCCAAACCCCTCCTAAACATCAAGCCCAACCCGGTGGAGCCCAAACAAATGAAAAAAACCAAAAAAAAAATAAATTTGGCCCGAACCAGGCCCGGGCCCGGCCGGGCCCGGCCTTGTTATGGGTGACCCGAGCCCGGACCGGAAACCCACCGAGTCGAGCCTACCCGGACCGGTCACTGACCGGGCCACCGGTCCGGGCCAGGCCGGAACAGTACCGGTCCCGGGCCGGTTCCGGGTCGGGCCACCCGGCCCGAGTCCAACCCTAACTGGGCTAGGGATGGACCCGGGCCGGGCCCGGGTCAATGTCTATTTTTTTTTTTGCTTTCTTGTTATCCCCCGACCCCCCACCCCCAAACCTCCCTAAAACACCCAACCCTACCCTAGGGACAGACAAGTGTACACAACGCATTTTTCTAAAACAAATACGGAGTATCATTCATCTCCTCCCTTGACGTGAGAAATCTCACTGCCGGTCAATTGTGTGGCCGGTGGACCCTATTCAGTTTTTTTGGAAATCCTACTACCAAACAAGATCAAAATGATAGTCATACTTCCTAAGATGGCATCACTTCGCTTAAAAAGTTAAATAGTATTTGATGGAGTAATAGGACTATGCCCAGAGCCTAATCAGCCCAAGCCCCGAACTTGGACCCGTGGATCCAAGTCCACAACCTAGAGCCTACCAGCCAGCCCAGTGGGGAGCCTGACAGTCCGGCCGACCTCCTAGCCCGGAAAAGTAACGGTCGAGCAATTAATGCGCTATTAATTATGTATTTAATTCCGTATTAATGTTGTAAGTAATTAGTCATTATTATCGGTAACGGTTACGATTTGTATACGCCTATAAAAGGCGGGTTGTAATTCAGATTAGGGGAGGCAACTTCTATATGCTATTTCTGGCTACTAAATCCCCTTTGCAACTTTCCATATTCGTACTTTCTTAATTCTTGCTTGAGTGTCGTGCGTAGCTTTCCTAAAAGCCTACGAGCGTCCTATTTTGGACCAACATTGGTGCTTTCATTGAGAGCTTCTGTCACTCTCACATCACTTTAGTAGGAAAAACCGAAAAACAGGAAATTTCAAGAAAAAAGGGTGGAAAAAGATCGAAGGTTTTTGTAAATTTTTCAGATCCCTTCGAAAACTGATTCTAGATATGGAGTTTTCCCAGAAAAGCTAGCAACAATCTGAGACGGAGCCAGAAGGATTTTGGTTTTGATATTCCGACTCATCCCTCAGGAATCAGTCACTCAATTTCTTCTGATTTGTACTCCTTGGGAAACTGAGTGTGGCGTCTCCGCCATTAATGGCCGCTGGCAAGGAGAAAACCTCAAACCCATCAACGTTCAAGATCGGAAGCTTCTAGTCTCCGTTCGTAGGCCGCCTTCACTTCCGTCTCAGTACTGTTCCTCCGCTCGCCTAGGGCTGTATTGACTGGGCGAATCAACCTAGGTCCGCACCAGCCAACTTTGGGGTGGAGATCGATGCTGCAACGATGAGTAGCTCCGACGCAAACCTGCGGATGCCCTCCAGGTGTGTCTCCTCGGTTTGCGAACCATGGCCCTGGATGTCTGGGGAAGCATGGCAGCTGATTGAGGCGCAAGGTAGCAAGGATGAGAAGCCTTCCACTAGTGAGAGAAACCGACACTTTAAAGCATCTGGCGCTGGACGAGATACTCCAATATGACAGCAAGCCGATCGCGGCTCCTACATCGGGGATGATGGTGAGGCTCCTCCTCCCTCTACTGCGGCAGCAATGACAGATGATATCTCCCCTCCCCTCGGGAGCCCATCTCTTCGGATATCATCAACAATATGTTTGCCAGCGTCTTACCAATTTGGATGGGTCCAAGGAAATCAGAAGAATACTATCTATCCATTCAACCAATCAACAAATGGCCTAAATAAGAGCTAAGTATCCAAAAATCCTCTATATTTGATACAAAAAGAAAACATTTACCGGAAAAAAAATATACTACGTATCATAAATTGAAACATTTGAAAAGATATTTTAAGTGGTGTAATTGCTTTAACTCTTGTTGAGCGTGTGTAATTTTAACATTGAAAAACGGACTTATGAAATCCGATCACTCACATACACCGGACGAGCACACACACTCGTACAATGGCCGAGCACACACACTCGCGCCACCGGGTCATGTCATATGGGTGTGGCGATTAATAAGCTCCAATATAAATGTTAATACCTCACACTCTTGACTTCTTACGGGTTCTTGTGTGCTCTTACCTCTTCCTAGTGCATCACACTCCGACCTCGGGGGACGAGTCATCCGTTCAAAAGTCTTTACTTGCGGGTTCGAACTACTAACCTCGGGTGGCGAGTTAAACTCTTGTTAGGGGCCTAGAGCCACGCTTTTCCGATCAATTTTGTCACTTAATTGACGTTCACATTTCTCGAAGAGGTTGATATACTTTAGTTCTCTGGGGTTGGATTATCCGTTCGAGTGAGGAGTTCGCCTCACTTACTCACGGATTCAATCTTTCTTTCGGAGACTGGGTTGAGGCCTAACTTGGGAACTTGATGTCACTCTTTTCAAGTAGTGAGTCCGACTCGCTTACATACTGAGCCGTGGTTTGACACCAGGCCAGATGCTCTATTCTACACTAGTTTCTTTTATGTGTAGGTACAACTGAATGAAGTGGGGGACTGAGGGTCTTACCGTCTTCAAGGAAGCAAATGACGAACCTGACGAGTCTGAACTCAACGAGAAGAACAGTTCTAGCCATCCTATTCGCAGATGGCGACCATTACAATAAAGGCTGAGGATCTCACCTCTTGCTTCATCTTGGGGGCGTCAGATGTACTCTTTTTCCCTTCATTAGGATTTTTTCCCATTGGGTTTTTTCCTAATGAAGGTTTTTAATGAGGCATCTCCCCAACGTGGATAAGGGTGGGGATCTTCTAGTCTCGGAGAAGAGCAACTGACTTGGACTACTCCCTCTTAGCCGAGTCTACTACTCGACTAAGGGAGTGGGGGACTCGTGATGGAGTAATAGGACTAGGCCCAGAGCCTAATCAGCCCAAACCCCGAACTTGGACCCGTGGATCCAAGTCCACAACCTAGAGCCTACCAGCCAGTCCAGCGGAGAGCCTGCCAGTCCAGCCGTATAAAAGGCAGGTTGTAATTCAGATTAGGGGAGGCAACTTCTATATGCTATAAAAGGCGGTTTGTAATTCAGATTAGGGGAGGCAACTTCTATATGCTATTTCTGGCTACCAAATCCCCTTTGCAACTTTCCATATTCGTACTTTCTTAATTCTTGAGTGTCGTACGTAGCTTTCCTAAAAGACTACGAGCGTCCTATTTTGGACCAACAGTATGAATTGACATGTTTATCAATCCGTACTATTCCGAAATCCGGACAGAAGGAACTGTAATTTGAACCGTTGTGAGTACAAAACAACAAATCATAAGACCACACCCCAGTGGATTTATACCACAAATCCAAAAAAACTAAATCTATAAAAGACTGTAATATATTCTTCCAGGAAAGTATCATTAATTAAGATATCAAGATTAAACACGTCTGCCGTAAACATGGGAGATTACGGAAGTCAGAGAGACAAGTAGCTCTCTTCAAAAGAGGGGAAAAGTCAGGGGAATGGGAATGGGAATGGGAATGGGAATGGGGTGTGATGTCCTAGAGTTTCAGTTCTAGGCAATCTTTGAATGCATTGTAAAACCAAGGAAAATCTTGATGAATGTCCTCAAACTCTATAGCCACTCATTTAAGATTCAGATCCCGTGTCTGCTGCTTCATTTTCCAATGCCAGTGCCACCCCTACTTCTGCCGGTCTAATGATTCGTTCATGTAAAGTGTACCCTGACTGCAAACACATTATTGATGCTTAACTATTAATTAAAGGATGTATATAAAAAGACAGAGCTTGTGGAGCTGAACAAATAAACTAATAAAATTAATGGAACGCAGAAGCTGGGAGTGATTGTTGACATAGTTGAACAAAAAATGTATACGTACCTTAAGGACAACTGCAACAGTGCCTGGCTTCTTTGAAGGATCTGGAACTTGGAATACAGCATTGTGTTTGTTTGGATCAAACTCTTCATCCACAGGATCATATTTTTCAATCCCAAACTTCTTGAACACCTGAAACACGAGAATCGTTAAGCCAAACAAAACCGCTCTATGAGAGCGTAAGGAATAAGGCTCAAATTGGACACTATGGTTTCATGAGAATCTCATATTGGACACTAACGTTTTAAATAGACCAAATTGGACACTATGGTTACATATGTATCTCATATTGGACACTGAAATTTCATAATTCATAGTTTTTAGATATTCACTTATGATTCTCTTCTTCCTTTAATGAAAATCATTAGTCTTACATTTCCTTTCCTTTTAGGTGAAAGTAAACCAGTTTAATTATGTATATAATTTTGGAATATTTAATTTCCTTAAAAATATATTTAGAGAGAGAAAAGGTGCCCCCGAATTTGGAATATTAAATTTCCTTAAAAATATATTTAGGACTTTTCATTCATATGATTTTTATGGAAATTTAAGAAATATCAATTTGTTAAATTGATATAAAAATATTAAAGAATTCAATTACATTATAATAGATTTTCTTAATTAGAGCATCTAATTATTAAATCTAAATCTACAACAACACCCAACAACACCCAAGCTTTAATCCCAAAAGAATTTGGGGTCGACTAACATGAATCGGTCTATGATATCGATGCCAAAAAGAGAAGATGGACAAGAAAGAGAAAAAAAAGTAAGATAAAATGAATAAAATAAAGATAAATAAATATAAGATAACAATAACACTGGTATATAAGAAAGATAAAAGATCAAAAATAAAAGAGCATAAAAAAGCTAGAGGATAAAAATAACATAAGAATATAAAAAGATAAGGAAGATAAACGATAAAAGAAAGAAGAGAGGAAAGGTAGAAAAGACATCAATCGTCAACACGGATGTAC